AGACACTCTCCTGTAACTCACACTGTCTGCTCAGGCCACAGGGAAGGGCTTCTTCACATCTCTTTTTCATAGTCTCCAAAAAAGTTTTTGGCCTGAATTCCGTGAATGATTGCTGAGGACACAGAGGACAGACATTCCTCCAGAGTACCAGGAAGAGTTGAGTGGTGGCTACATTCCAGTAAAAGGAAAGACAAATTCATCCTTCCTCTCAGGAAGCGTGAATGCACTAGCTTCTTGCATAATGAAGAGTCAGTTTCCAAGTAGTGCCAAATGTCCATTTTTCAGCCTCTCTTTGTGTTCCAAATCACGTTTCCGAAATTACTGACAAATCACTATGGTATTTGCAACAGGTGTGCATAGTGGCTGAAAACCGTTTGCTATTTTAGATAATTCATGTTATTCTAAATTTGCATATATATGCATATATGAATTAAGATACTGATTCTTTTCATTCGAAAATAGAATTGCAAATAATTTTATTTTTATAAAAGTATTTTTTAAAAATAAATTTTATAATTATTGTTTTAGAATTCAAATCAAGTGTTAAAATTATTTACTTAAAATTCTAATATACATTAAATATGATTTATATTTTGACTTTAATTTTAAGAGATTTTAAATATTTTGGGGGAAGAACTATTTTGAAAACATAAGAATCCTTTAAAATTTTCCATTTTTGCATTTGCTTTCATTTACATTTTGAAGAAAATATATTCACGTTCTGCACAGTTTAAATGAAACTCAATTACTTTCTAATTCTTCAGATCAATATGATCTGGATTTAATACATCAAATCGTGGTTGAAATAGAAAATACCTTGGAGCTAAGAAAAGAAAAATCCTGTAAAGAAAAAATTAAAAACTCCAAAGAAATGATCTGTTTAACTTTTTAAAAACTGAAAACAATGAAAATTAAAAGACTTCTGGTGAACATAATGACATAAAATATTTGAGCAGGACATGACAAAATCTTTATTTTTTCTTAAAAAAATTATGGATCAAAACAATGACAATGAGCAAGGAAACTGTTCTCATCAAATCCAAAACTTAAAGAGATCAAGTGATTTCTTCAATAAATGAATATTGTAATTCGTGATCAAAACATTGGGACCAAAAAAAAAGAATAACTTATATCAAATTCCCAACCCAGAAGTAACAAATGCAACTCTAGCCTGCCCAATAAAACAAATTACTTTCATGAAATGGGCAAATTGGATTAAAAAGACAAAACTTGGGAGGTTTACTATGTTTGCTAAAAAAATTATCCTAAAAATTGCTATCCCATCCTTCTGACAGTGGAACATTTTCTAGAAAAATGCAGTTTGATTCAAATCATTCATTATGATTTTCCGTTGGATAATCATTGCAGAAAATTTTGCTTGACGCCACAATTCCTTCAAATGGAGAAAGAGACTATAAAAACCGCCCTTTTTAGTCTAAGTTCAAAGTTCAAAAGTTCAAAGACAAAGCATTTTGTTCTTACTCTTACATATTTCACAACCAGTCTTTCTAGATCAGTTTTTGACCAAAGTAACATTTGTGACTGAAAACATATAGGTTGTTGATAACACAAACACACCACAAAACATAAAACATCATTTGCACCCATAAAAGTAGACACGTGATTACTAGAACTGAAACTACTTGAATAAATAGCAAACAATGGGAAGTTTTAAATAAAGACAAGTGCTAATGCAAAACAGTGGGATAGTGTTTTGTGACACATTTATTTTGTGGCCCAATTAGCACAATATTACAGAAAATCGGGGAACGTTTCTAGATTTGGTAGGAGTCACTTCAAACAGTGATACTAGAGTGGTCAAAAACATAAAGCACTTTTCAAAATATTGTAATAAATGTCACTATGTAGGATCAACTACTTAGCAAATACTCTTAATTAATAATTGCCAATGCCTGTTGGTGGAAATGGCTCATTTTTCTTTTTCTTCCCCAGGACTGGCTTTGTAAATTATATAAGTTAGGATATACACTTTTAAGATGTATCATTCAGTAAAAAAATAACAAGCCATTATTTATAGTGTAATTATATAATTGCAGTATTTACAGTAACTGTAAAATGTATTTTATGGGGGTAGAAATCAGCGCATAGGACTTTACAGTATATTTATCATACCTGGGGAAAAAAACAATGTTTCAGTTCTCTATTTAAAAAGATACCTTATCAATTCACAGGAAATGTATAAAAATAACCTTTAAACATATGAATAAATGTTCAACTTCACTCATGAGAAATGAGAAATCCAAATTCAAACTACACTTAGATGCCATCTGTGACTCATCAGATTGGCAAAAATTAAAAAGAATAATAATACTCTTTTGCAAGTCTATGGAAACATATGCACTTTCACATATCTCTGGTGGGAAAGAAAATTGGTACAACCCTTATGGCTGAAGTTTAGCAATATCTAAAGTAACTACATATGTGTTTATGTTTTGACCCAGTGATCCCAATTCTAGGAATTTTTCCTGAAGATACACCTGCAATAATATGAAAATACACATACACAAGATTATTCATTGTCACTGAAAAATATTGCAAACAACCTAAATGCCCATCCATATAATAGTTATTGAATAAACTATGGTACATCCACACACTGAACATTCTTTTATTAAAAAGATGTCTTTATTAAAAAAGAATGAGGAAGATATTTATGAACTAATGTGGAGAGATTTTTGGGATATTGTTAAGCATAGCATTGTGTCAGGCAGTTAATTAATAATGTCTGTGGTAGTATAGAGCTTTTTTTAAAAATGTTTAATTTGTTGTGATTACTTTTCCCATTCTTAGTAAACATTCTTTTTTAAAACTAATTTTGTTTTCATAATTATCTTTGCTTTTTCTTAAAACAAAAAAAGTCCCTTGATTTGTACAAACTTCTGGCTACACAAAACTTGGGTTTTCTTCAGACTTGTGCACTATAGCATATAAATAAAACATATATTGTCTTTTATTTGATTTTTCTGAGAGATTTGGTGGTAAAACTACTGTAAAGCATTTTCTTAAAGCGGGAGTTCCCAAACCTGGCTGAGCATCATGATCAGCTGTGGACCTTTAAGAAAATAGAGATTTCTGGGCAACACATAAGTCTGGGTGCTGCCAGAAAGCTGTATTTCCGAAAGCCCTGTAGCTGATCGTGAACATCACTCGAGTTTGGGAAATCTCCACTGGGAGCACGCTTGCAAAGAGAAAGAATGAAATTATTTTTGCTCTGTATTTTTCGTTTAGAAGCTTGTGGTAATTATCAACAATTTCTTAATCACGGCTTAACTATTTGGCCAAAAGTTTCTCATCCTGAAATTAGGGGTTTTAAGGACAAACTACACGGTAGTGAAGAATTCTGCTTGTCTCAGGCAGCAGATTAGTGAGAGGACGGCTGGACTTGAGGCCACGCCCCAGGAGTTGATTCCTGACTCTGTCACATCCACGGCCTGCAAGCCAGCAAGGCTGTTAATGTCAGCCTCTGCTTTCTTTTCTGTAAGATGTGTACAGCTTGGTCTTTTTCACATAGTGCTGAAGATTAATGAAGAGACACGATATCAAATGTTCTTATAAACTAGTAAGTATTATAGTTCTCAACACAATTCTTATTATGTATTTAAAGCCTAATTGTGTCTCCATTTATTGTAATTTTATAAAGTTTAATTCTATATTGACTATATCAATTTTATCTATTAAAATCTGTCTATCTATTACGTATGCATCATCCATCCATCTATGTATAACTCTTGCTACAGTGTTATGGCAATGATTCATTAATAAGCAATATGACCTCTATTATGATCTATCTCATTGTCTTTCCATCTATCTATCCCACCAGCTTCCCTGTGAATTAAAACAAAGCATTAAACTTCGGGGACTTGGGAATACTACAGTTGCCATTATTCATGCCAATGTCATCATCAGGTAACTCACAGAAGATTTTAGGTGGAGTCACATACTGAGCATCTCAGGGAACATGAAAATAGCTCTCCTGAGGATGAACAGGACTTCCATACCTCTAAAAGCAGATGAATAATTATGTTCCATATGATCTAATATAAACATTTACATCTGTTAAACATATATCTTTCATAAATTCTGGCAAAACCAAACACAATTCACAAACAGTTATATTATTATATAATTGCCTTATTTTCTGACACATATTGTGTGCTATTATTTCAGAAAACATACCAAGTGAAATCATATTTATCTTAGATAAATACATCCTGTATATTTTCAATAAAGTGATAGAAGTCACCGCAACAATTTAAAAATCACATATGGTTGAGAAAAATGCCAAAGGGGGGAAATTAATTTTGATTTTGGTGGTATGTTTCCTGAGCTGGAACAGAATCCTGAATTGCTGGTGGCATTCACACCTCTTCATTACTGCCGTTAGCAATTCTTTCTCTACTCGTGGAGTCTATAAAAGCTTGGTGTATTAGAGAGATGCCAAATTCATACATAACTCCTGCTACAGTCTTATGAAAATGATTCATTAATAAGCGATATAACCTCCATGATGAAGCGTGGGGTCCAAGTCAGTTCACAGACGTCAGTTCACAATCTTTTATTTTCCATTTCACATTCTCCTATTTTAAATCTTTTCTAAGTAAAATTATGACTACGGTAATTCTACAGCACATTTCAAGTTAAAAACATTACATTAATTTGCTTATGATCCAATCATATCTTATATTCTGGGTTTTTGGACAGTTGGCTTTCACACTCTTTTGATTGAGAACAACTATAAGAAATATATTTTATGTCCTAACATTGTACACACACCACCCTCCCCACAAGACTCACACACGTATACAGAAACAGAATTTTTGAAATAATGCATTTCCTTATTATTATAATTTTTACTTATTCTATTTTCTTCTGTTCTCTGTCTTTATAAAATAGTCGTCACTCAATGAAATTGATTTAATGTCTCATCAATGCGTAGCTGGAAAAATTTTCTTATCAGTGCTTTCCAAAATCACTTGGAGTGCTCAATTTGGCAGCAATATACTAAAGTTGGAACAATCAGAGAACATTAGCATGGTACCTGCACAGGGATGACACACAAATTGTGAAGTGTTCCATATTTTTTAAAAAATCACTTGTGGAAGTGTCCATTGATGGATGAATGGATAAACAAAATGTGGTCTATACAAACAATGTCTGAATATTATTCAGAGTTTAACAGGAAGGAAATTCTGACATATAGTAAAACATGAATGAATCTTGAAAACATTAGGTTAAGTGGAACAAGCCAGTCACAAAAGGACAAATACTGTATGCTTCTACTTGTATAAGGTACCTCGAGTAGTCAAATTCATAGAGACAGAAAATAGAATGGGGGGTTGCCAGGGGCTGGGAGAAGGAGGAATGGAGAGTTAGTGCTTAATGTGTATAAAGTTTCAGTTTTGCAAGATTAAGAGTTCTGGAGACGGATGGTGGTGATAGTTGCATAAAAATGTAAATGTACTTAATGCCACTGAACTATATTAAAAATGGTTAAAATGGTAACTTTTATGTTATGTGTATTCTACCATAATGGCAAAACTTTAAAAAAATCACTTGGGGAAACACAAATTCCATTGATATGCTTCAGATTTGCTGAACCAGGGGTAGGGTCCCTGAATCTGGGAATTTTTAAGAACTACCCAGCGGAATCTGATGCAAAGTGGTTTGGAAACCACTGCTTTAGAATATAACTATGAATATGACTATAACTATAACTTTCTCTCCCAACATTCAAATTCTTTTACCATTTCTCTGAGAGACACAAAAAGCGTGGGGCAAGATCCTGCAGAAGCCTAACTTTGACCTTGACCGCAAAAAAACAAAAAGAAAAATTAAGAATTTTTCAAGTGAGAAACTAGTTTTAGAGTACATGATTATGGGTATGGACATTGACCACAGAGAAAGAAACTTTTCCAGAAGAGACAAAAATAATATTAAAGCACACCAGGCCTAATGCCGGGTCTCCTATTTCTTCGTAGTCGTATCCAAGGTCTTCTCTCAATTGAAAAAAAAGCTACTGTCTTAGTCCATTTGAGCTGCTATAACAAAATACCAGAGACTGAGTGGCTTCTAAACAAGAAGCAGTTATTTCTCACAGTTCTGAAGACTGGGAAGTCCATGATCGTGGCACTGACAGATTCAATGTCTGCCCAGAGCCTGCTTCCTGGACAGCACCTTTTCTCCGTAACCTCACACGGTGGAAGGGGTGAGGAAGCACTCCAGAGTCTCTTTTACAAGGGTACTAATCCTACTCATGAGATCTCTGCCCTCACGACCTAATCATCCCCCACAGGCCCCCACCTCCAAATGCTATCATATTGGTCATTTAAGATTTCACATATGAATTTGAGGAGGGGGACAAAAATATTCAGACCATAGCAGCAATTTTTTTTTTCCCTTTATATACCAAGTCTGTTACATACCTTAATTCATCTAACGCTGCAGTGTCCCAATTAGGATTCACGTTTTTATTTTACAGTTGAGGAAATGGAGGCTCAGAGGTGTTAATACCTGCCCAATGTCACATAGCTCATACTTTGTGGAGACTATGTCTACCTGGCTGTGAAACCTTTGGTCTTTTCAACGCTACCCTGCTTCTCTGCACAATTTCATTCCATTCTTCCACCGCACAGTGGAGTAGACCTCATTATTGTCATTTCAAAAATCAGAAAAGAACCTCAGGGAGATGACTTTATCAAGGTCACACAGGGAGCCTTCCACATTTTGATTCGATTTTCATCCATAAAATAGAGCTATTTCACCTTTGAGAAATACATTGAAGAAACCAAATAAAATTGCAAGCCATAAAAATAATGCAAGAAGGAGTAAAATCTTGATTAATAAGAAAGAGCCAGGCAGCCATGGCTAATTGAAGGTTAACTAGAGGCTTCTTTTTGTTTTAACCTTTAATGCTGAAAATCTTGTCAAAATAGATTAGCCACATCCTGGTTTATGTAAGTTTAGTGTAATGAACACAACTTAATCTTTCTTTGAGTATTTTTTTTCAACTTCTGTATTTCCTTGCAGATGTAGATCATACAGGAAATTGATTTGAATTTTTAGAGGCCAGGAAAAAAATTAAAAGTGGCTCTCTTGAACATGTCTTTAATAGGATCTTGTACAGTTTCTTTCTTTAAAATAAAGCACCAAAACAGTTCGAGGTCTGGGTTTTTTTCACGGGGGGTATGTTTGAGATTGATTCAAGGATATTGGTCTGTAGAAGACAAGTACGTAATTGAACAGCAGTTTATAAGCTTCCCCCTCTAAATGGAATTCTAGGTTGGAGAACTCTTACCATTTTTTTCTGCTTATATATGGTATTTTCTTATACCAAAAGATGTATTTACAACTTCTAGCAACTGTTCAGAGATAATAAAAATCTGCAAATTTCCTCATTTATTAGGAAAAATATGTTAAAGGTGTAGGTTTCTCACAGGAAACCAGTGAAATCCCCGCTCTGAACATTTGACCTCAATCCCCCTTTTCCCGGACTGACACCCACCTTCCTTCCCCTTATGCACCATCTCTCACCTCCATGATTTTCGTTGACAGACATTAGTTGAAATAGAGGACTGAACAATTTGAAATGGGAATGAGTTAAGGTACAAAGAAAGGGATACTCACCAGAAGTGGGGGCTACAAGGGCTTTGGGTGTCTTTATTGGCTGGTCAACACTGTAGCATTTCTGTATTAGCAAAATACCATTGGAAGTAGATTTCATCATTGAAATTAGTATTTTTTGAAATAGAGACTAAAATACTTTAGTATTTAAATATACTAAAAATATCCTAGTATAGTTTGCAAGACTATAGCTTAAGAATCCAACCAGAGGTTTACCTTTAAGAATGGCACTCTAGATTTGATTTCTGCAGAGGCCTCTACCTAAACACTAGATTGGGGGAGTGTTGGTCACCCAAGTCTGACAAGGTGGTCAGCTGAGTTTTACTGCTATAATATCGTATTTGCTCTATTTGTCTTGACTGAATTTTTCATCCTAGGTAGAGTCTTAGCACCTTAAAAAAGTAAAGCCAAGAATTGGTACAGCTTATAGGACTATTTTCTGTATAATGCTAATAAATGTCCACAGGTGCATAAGAATTTTATTTGTAACTACTTAGAAAGTTTGCTTTCTTTGCTTAGAAAGATGGTATAATAGTAGCATTTAACCGTCATCTACAGATAACAATTGACTATTGATTTTTACCCAAAGGAGCCTAAGTATTTGTATTTCCAAATTGGTTTATATCAGTTTATGGCAAGAGATATAAAAATAAGCTTGCATAAGCATTTCTAAGGTTACTCAGCCTGTGGATTGACTAGATGATCAATAAAAATCCCTTCCACTTGAAAGACACAGAACTCGTCATACGAGCCTACGTTCAGAACATTCCTAGAAAAGAAATCACTTATCCAGAACATTTTGATGATTGGAAATGACTTTACCAAGAATTTGCTCACACCCGTATTCTGGGATTGATGGTTCCTTTATAGAAGTCGTGTTGCTACAACACGGGAAGACCTAAAGTGAGAACATAGAAATTGTGGTGATAACCCAGGCCCAGGATTTCATATGGAAGGGACTTTAAGTAGCTAGTCCACCTGATTGGTCAGTGGTAGAGCATGGCTCCCCAATGAGAAGCTGCGGAGCTGCCTCAGCCAATGTGAAAAGGGAAGTGACCTGAAGCTCTGACACATGCAGTCTTCTTAGAGACACCGGCAGGACTGACCTCTTTTCCCCTCTCCATAGCCCTCTCAGGCTTCCTGCTGCAATTCAAGATTTCTGCTTGCAGGCTGAGCTTAACATTTACCTGAATCTCTCATTACAAGATTAAAAAACTGTGGAGGAGAAGCCAAATAGTCTATCGGGGAGATCAACAACCAGGCACCTAATTCAAACAGGTTTGGCAGACACAGAATTCTCATTTCTAACATATTGCCTGGGAAACCCAAGTACCCTCCACATCTGATTGCAAGGAGTTAACAAATCCATGTAAACCTCTGAACTTATATTTTCCAGGAGAAAATATGGCTCCATGTTCATGAGTGTTTATATGCTATTAAGAGAGCTAAATGTCACTTATATTTATCACCACCTTTGTGGAGCTGGATATCAGATATCTTATTCTTCAAAGCTGTTATATTTTGTGGTTGGAGACATGCTCTACTAAACCACCCCTTTCTCAAACACTTGCCAAGGTGATGACAGAGGGCTTTCCTAACCTGATGGAACTTCGCTTCCCAAATTCTTCCACCTCAGCTAAGTGAGTCTGAGCCAGCATCTATCTTTCCTGCTTTCTTCCATGTGTTGTCTTTTCACACTTGCCTAATTTATCATTTGATTGATACTCTGGCTATCTACCATATTGTTCAAAAGAGAAAGAAAACATTATATCTTTAAAAAAATAGACTTAAGTCATTATAAACTCAGTGTTTTTCCAAGCCCATAACCTGTGCGACGGCACAGAGGCTTCATCTGCATTTACCACTCATCACCTACACAGTTCTTCCACAGATTCTGGTAAGATATTAAAATAAAAGGGAAGCACAAGCTTGAGGGGAGGGGTTTGGCAGGGGCTGGGGAACTAGCGAAAACATGATTTCAAAAGTTTGCTATGGGGGCCAACCTGGTGGCATAGTGGTTGGGTTTGCACTCTCTGCTTAAGCGACCCGGGTTTCATGGGTTCAGATCCCAGGCACACACCTACACACTGCTCATCAAGCCATGCTGTGGTTGTGTCCCACATCCAAGATAGAGGAATATTGGCACAGATGTTAGCTCGGTGACAATCTTCCTCACCCAAACAAACAAACTATAAGTTTGCTATGCACCTGCCTCTGTACTGGTGTTAGCTGAAAGGTGACTTTTCTTTGAAGATATTGAAAGATGCAAAACAGCGCCCCTTCCCTAACCTTGAGAAAAGCCAAGTAATCTACAAAATGATCATATTTTGGAGCCCATCAGAGAGCTGAGGTCACAAGGCAATCAAGTAAACTGAATTCTAAATGAGGTCAACCCTCATCCAAAAAGAACCAGGACACACAAACTTTCCTTTGGGAGAGTACAGGACATACAGCAAATAAGT